TTAAATAAAACTTATTACAGTAAAAGACACACTCCTATTAATTCCCATCAAAATACTTCTTACCCCAAACACACTCATTACATTGTTCTTGCCATTTTCTGAAGCAGTTCTGAAAATCATCTTTTGGGTCATTAGTTGTGCTGTCATGGTTGCCTCCATGTCCTTGATTCAAATTATTTATAGCAATTTCTGTCAAAAAAAAATTACTGTGTGTCTTTACTACCAGATCTGGCACTGTGCAACTTCTCTTTCCCAAAGTCAAAATGACCATGAAACACAAGCACTTCAAGTCTGGTTAGGACACCTAGGCAGGCATGACCGGGCAACTGAGGATGCTCAGTAAGGAGGGCTTCCAGAACTGCCTCAGCAAGAGGCAAGAATGGTGGAGCAAGTACATTAAAGTGTGTGTGTAGGTTGGTATTTTGAGGGGAATTAATGGGAATGTCTTTTACTGTAATCAATTTTTAAATTTAAATAGCATATTTTTAAAATCACACTGCATATGTACAAAATATCATGCAAAGCTAACAGCCGCACTGCATAAGAAGTCATGCCTACTGTTTGTTAAGATTGCAAGATTCTGTAACATTTTAGTGGTGTATATATCCACAAATATATCTCAAAAAATCATCTTCAAACCAGTAAGTCTGTATCTAAAAATGTATTCTAAGGAAATGAAAGGTAAAGATATTCACATACAATCTTATTTTTCAAGCGCTGAATATTTGTAAATAAATGTTGAAACAGGAACATAGTTATCAAATATTAAATATTCAAATTACTGAAAATTATATTGTCATTGAAAAGGACATTTATTAAGACTACATAGTAATAGCCTAGAAAATACTCAAAAAATGAAGATGATAAAATCACTATTAAAATTCCTTTTAAAATGTTTTTTTAAAAAATGTTTTTATTATAAGGAAATTCACATCTCTGGGTAATGAAAGGGTAGTGAGGTAGGATAAATTTAAAAATAGCTTAAAAAAAAGAGGTAAGGAAACTGGAAGACTTTAAATTAAGAACTATAGGTTAATGCAAGGCATTTTCACTTCCAAGTGACAAATGAAAAAAAAAAAGATTTCCTCGAAGGGTTCTTTTACAATACTCTGTAAATTCCATACACTAGATCTGTCTTGCTTTTTTTTTGTTGAGACAGGGCCTCACTATGTAGTGCAGGCTGGCCTCCAACTCACAGCAAGCCTTCTGCCTCAATCTCTCCAGTGCTGAAATTGCAGGAGTGCACCACCATGCCTGGCCTGACCTATTCTTTTCACCTACAAATTGTCCTTCTTCCACCTCCAAAAAAGTAAGGACACTCTCAGGCAGTGTATGTCAGCTTCTAACACCTATAAATGGCCTGTACTGTTACCTGACAAGACACATCTTACATTTCCTACCTTGACAATACCCCTTGAATGTACCCCACCCCAGCTTGTAAGGTATTCTCACTTCTCCGCCCACTCTATTTTGTGCACATCCTAATAAACCCATTATCTTTTATTGGCCTGTCCTAAAAATTCTTCAAGAGTCAGTAAACCTACATCAAAACCCACAGAACACAACACTGGGTTAAAAGGAAAAAAAAAAAAGCCCTCAAAAACCTCTCATCCCATACTTTTCTACTGTAAATTTATACTTTTAAGAGTTACCAGCTGTGTGTTTCCGTAGCTATGCCTGGGGGACACAGGGAGCAATTTTTTGTGTTTATCCCCTTTGTTTGATGAATGTGGTAGGGTGTGCATATGTGCAAAAGTGTCCAACCAGGACTTTTATCCACATTTACGCTCCATCTAACAGGTTTTTCATATTTATCTGAGCATCATGTGTGTGTGTGTGTGGGGATATACACCCGTACTATCTTCTTCTATGTAAACATGTACTTTACCATAAGGAATAATGGGGTACTTTAATTTTCCTGGTAGAAGGAGCTCACTACAATGGCACATGAAAAATCAGATTTCCATTTTGGAGGTGGCCAAAAGTGAATCATTAGATCACTAATGCATGTAAGATGAAAATGATGACAACTCTGATATTGGCCATGTGAATCAGTTTCTATGAAACAGCAAGAACTGATTGTTAAGACTCAGGGAATATGGGCCTCCTTGATTGAGATGACACTGAAAACAAAAATGTGAGTATATGTTTAACTAGTTAAAACGTACAAAATGGTCATACAACATTATGGAATGACCCAATGTTAGAACTAGGTCTGAAAATATAGTGAGGATCTCGGCAGGGTTGAAATTTATTGGACAAAATACCAGAAGGGCTATACAATGTAAATAACTGTAATAGATAACATGCTGTAAGATATTGTGAAATACTATCCACAAATGCTGAAATACAAATGTTCTGTGTGCACTGATAGTCATACTATAAAGTGAATTTATTATGACTCTTCACTAGCCGAACTGAAGCATTCATAGGTCTGCTGTACTTAGCAGGGCTTTCTCATGCCATTGCAGGAATGTAAAAGACTTATGGAAAAGTGGTGGGTGAGGGTTTGTAGAAATAACACACCGACAATATTTGGTTTCCTTCAAAACTGCCTGAGGTTTAATGACAAAACCACATGCCAAGAGAGAAAATGAACTGATCATCTGGCTACTATTCACTCATGGTTAGAGACATTTGTGGATTAACTGTCAAGTAATTCACACACCATCTGAATACATGACTTAGTAAACATTTTGCAGTATTTCATGGTTGCTATAGCCTCAGGCAGTGTATTCTCAAAAAACCTTCAAAATATGATCTTATGTTCTTATACATGTGAAGACTTACTATGCTTTCAATTTAGAAGTTTATCCTGGAACCCAGCCACCATATATAGTTTATATATAAACTATATAAACTATTTATATAGTTTATTACTATATAAATCCTTATTTATATAGTAATAAAACAAGCAATGTTGTGAACAGACTTGTTGCTCCCATCTCCCAAAGTAAATGAAATGAGATCTGACAAGAGGTTTACCAGTTTCCAGCTAGTCACACTTGCTAACAGAAGACAAGCTGACCAACATAGGAACTGTCCACATGAACAAAGCAGAAATTCCAACTGAAAAGTTGCAACTTCAAAACAGAGAAGTGTACAGTACTATCTTTGGATTTCAGAGAGACATAACATTGGCCTTGTAAATGGCTAAGAAAAGCAAACTGGGACTGCCAAGGACAACACTACAGCATGATAGAAATACTGATAGGAAAACTTTGGGAAAACAGAAGGCTGAGATGGAAACTTTCTACAACAAAAACAAAGGTGGAGATGTTGATGAGTTATACAGCAACTATGATGTCACTCACAACAACCAATAGTTGTGTTTCACTCCATCATAAATATGTGGCATAAACAGCTTGGGAGTTTACAAGTAACAAGTGCAAAATATCACAGAGCAGTTTTCTTAGATTGGGACTGGAACTCATCAGAGATCATTTGGAGCAGAGGAAATACAAGATGCTTTTGTCCAGGGACTACATAAAAAATTGTGGAGCACTCTGGTGAGCTGACAGGTGAAAAGGTAGACAGCAGGAAAATCAAAACGATGTCAACTGAACCCTACAGGAAAGGACAAGAAAACAAAACATATATGCTATCAGTGTAGGAGTTACTTGTGTATGGAATATGCAATTTGCATGTGTGAAGACTGCCTTGGGTGTGACAGTTGAAGCAAAGATTAATTCTATGGTGGATTTTTGTTTATATTTACATTGAAGGTCACACAGGTTTTTATTTCTGATGTTATCTTTCAGGTTTTATAAGCAAGTAAACAGCTGATGGGAAAATGTTGCTATGTAGTTTAAGCACTCATTATGTATTTGCTACTTTATTGTCACCTTATTTTCCTAGGTGCACACTGCACAAAATAGTAGGAAGCTCCTAACAAAACAGGAGAGGTGACAAGAATGGCCTGCCACACAGGGAAGCTAAGTACATGTGCTATCAATGTGAGACATACATATGGAACACATGGGTGAGTACTACCTTGGAAATGATGATGGAAGCACAGGTTATTTCTAGGGTAGAGTTCTATTGGTATTATTGTAGTTCACACAGGATTTTATTTCTGAGCTTATCATTTAGATTTTGTAGCAGGTAGATAACTGATGAGAAAATGTTTATTATAAATGTACATTTCAAGAATTTAATACTTTATAGTTTATTGATATTTTATATTACTGTTAACTACAAGAACCTCTTGAGAAAACAGCAAGACCCCTGAAATGTCAAGTATGCCCCAGAAAAGGCCAGGAAAGAAAAACACACCTGCTGTCAGTGTAAGTAATACCTGTGTGTGGAGTGTGATAATGAAGTAAAGACTATGCTTTTACTAGAGTTCTATTTTTACTATAATATTTTGATGGTGGTATTTTTACTGCAGTTCATATGGAAACTTACTTCTGTTATTTTTTAAATTTTGTACACCAAAAAATGTCAATGCTGAAATTTTGGTGCTCTTTGATAATCTACAAATATTCAAAACTCAATACTTTTTTGATATTTTTCCTGTTAGGTATTATTTAATGTAACAACTCATAAAATTAAAATAAATAGCTCATCAATAGAAATATTCTAAAGCATAAATGTGGATGTTAAACATACACAATGTGCTTTTATGACAAAACTGGCATGATGCCCCATGGGCTACAAAAGTGGATTACATTCCTTATTTCCTGGGGACCACAGACACAAACTGGGGACAGCAGGGGACTATAATTTTGTTTTATTTTTATATTTTCTACAAAAACATGTATTAATAAAAACAGAATATCATTAAATATTCACCAAAAACTGTCATCTTTCAAAACATAGCAATTTACCTGACAGTTTGTTAGTCTGTTTCTCTCAGTATATTGAAAACTATGTTGTTAAATATAAAGCAAAGTTGCATAAAATAATGAGCCATAGACTCAAATGTTGTCGAGGGTCAGTTTACTGAAGATACTGTGATGCTATATGGTAGTTCTATTCACGTGGTTACTTTTCACAATGCCAAACTCTAAAGGTCACAGCAATGAAACTGTATAATCTCTTTCCCATATTTTGTTCAGAAACACAAAAATCAAATCCAAATCAATGTGCAAGGGAATATAAAGACTATCTCCCACCCCACCCAAGTAAGATGGTGATTAAAGATCAGGAAGCCCAGCCATACAAAAGGGTAAAAACAGAACATGTAAAAAGCAAACTTTTTGTTTATTAGATTTTATTTTAAAAAAGTTTCAAATCTTTTCAATTTTCTTTTTATTTTTTACACCAAAAAAAGCATCGATACTTTTCATTCCAGTCTTGTCAACTTTAGCCAAAGCCTTCTGAGCTGCAGTCATTTTGGTATTTTTCTGCTAATGAAAATAAGTGAAAAATTGTTATGAATGTATCACTTGTAAATCATATATGCAAATCAGACAAGACTGTGCATGTCTCAGTGTTCATTAAGGGAGGTAAACGTCTGCTGCCATCATGCTTCATAAAGGAATGAAAGAAGTTCTGATCTATTCACAATTCAGACTTCAGAGACAGCATGTTAAGACAAAACTGCCACCTTCTAAGGAGTCGAATGTTACAGCTAATGGTCTACTTTAAGGGAGTGATTCTGGAGGGTGCATTAAGAATAATAACAAAAACAAAGCAACTGACACAGGCAGCAATTGACAAGGGGAGAATTACAGCCTTGTGTTACTACATGATGAATAATTCACAACAATTTACCATCCGATTTTATTCATTCACTCTATGAGAAACCATGGACAACTCTATTATATTCCAAAGATGACTCAGACTAGAAGGAGAGCTGTGTTATTTCGCCTTTAACAAAGAAATACTTTCCCAAAAGTTGACTCCACATAATACACTCTGTAAATTTCTATGTTTCCTTGGCCATTGTATTTTTCAGTGTCTTTTAATAAGTGCTAAAAGATGGTAAATGGCAGCTGATACTATTTTAGTGGGTCACAACTTGTTCAGAAGAAATACAACTGATGGGAATCAGGAAACAACGAAACTGAACCAAAATGAACTGAACCACACCACACTGCCCTGCACCAAAGCAAGCCACCAGTCTCCCTAAGAACAGAAGGGCAAGTATATTGGCCAAATAGATTTTAAGGGGACAATATATGATTCCTGCAATGTTGCTTCTTATGTTGTCACTTGTAACTTACAAAGATTCATTTCTGACTGGATGGTAACAAGAAATGGTCTCTTTCACACAAGATGTCCTGTTCATTTAACTGCCATCATGGTTCAACTTCCTTCTCACACTGGTGCAATGATCAGGTGATAGAGAAGTCGCATATCCACTGAAGGTGGGTAAAAGTATTTCTCCCAGAAAAGTTTAAATGTCCTTGTTTACACAGAACATTGAGAGAGTTAACTATTTCGCAAATCTTAAATCAGATTACTCTCTAATGTCATGTGCCCAACTAAATGAAACACAGACAATAGAATAAAATCTACTAAAAAATTTAAGCTCTAAGAAGACTACATATTATTATAATCTAAATGGAAGATAATCTATCACTTATCCTGAGACTGGAATGATCTTTCTACACATAAAAGCAATGGGGTTGGGGAGGCAGTGGGAAATGATAAAAACAACCTCTCTCTCTCTCTCTCTCTCTCTCTCTCTCTCTCTCTCTCTCTCTCTTTTTGACATCAGGAATTGAACTCAGGACCCTGCACTTGCCAGACAGGTATTGCACTGAGCTATATCCCCAGGCCAAGAAAAACAATTTCGATATTTAACCTCATAAAAAATTAAAAACTATTAAAAACATCAAATGTAAATGTATAAACATACCAGAAAATAATTTATACATTGTGTCATGACAAATATTAATAGTTTTAATGTAAAATATGTTCTTAGAAGTCAACAATCACAACAATAAAATTATCACAACACAAAAATAGGTAAAGGATAGAAATGACAATTAGTAAAATTTAAAAGTGCAATAAGCAATCAGAAAGATAAACTTTTAGTTGAACATGTGCAGCCTAATTTGAAAGGCAACATTTTTCAAGAATAATGTTGTTAAGAATTCAAGACATAAGCTCATTGGCAATAATGTTTGGAAGTACAAATTTTTGCTGCAATCTTTTTTTCTTTCTTTCCAGAACTGGGGATTGAACTCAGGCCCTTGCGCTGGCCAGGGAAGCACTTATTCCACTGAGCCATCTCCCTGGCCCCTGCTGCAATTTTGGAAAGCAATACATACATACATCATGTATATGACATGTATGTATATTATCATAAAAGAGTTCATGATCTCTATGATTTGTTAGTTCTAAATTGTGTCTAATGAAATAATCAGAAGTACAAACTATAAATAAAAAATTCTATCAGTTTCTTTAAACCAAAAATAAAAAAAATATCAGAAGTACTCTGGGTATCCAAAAATAGGGTATTAAATAAATTATATTTTATATAATGAAAAACATAGCACAAATCATGAGATATCATGAAACTATAATATTTAAAAGAATGTTTAATGACATGAACAGTTTTGTAAAACTGAAAGGTAGAACCAAAAAATATGTAAGTACAACACAAATTTTAAAAGCTGTATATTATTTATAATGCATAAGATAAAACTAAGCAATGTTAAGAAAATAATATTTGCAAGGTTAAGATTAATGGTGGAATTATGAATGACTTTGGTTATCATAATTTCATGGAAGCTTCTGGACAGCAGGGTTGGCCAAAACCTACCTCAAGGGAAAATCCGGGTACACTCTTGCTAAGCATAGTTTTTTTTTTTTTTTTTTTTGGCCTGGAGATGCCTTGAGGGCATTTCTGCTTTTGGGTGAGTATCTGGGTTCGAACCACAGCATCTTGAGCGTGAGTGCTTTGTTTAAGCAGGCACTTAAACAACTGAGCTAATGGGCAGGCCCCCAGCATAGTCTTTTTTAAAAATTTATTTTGTAAAAACCATAACAATGACTTAACATTTTCATGCAGCATAATTCTGTGTGAATTATGGTCAAAACTATAATCACAATCAAGTGTGCAACTGTTTTTAGATGCACACACGCACTACACCTATGGAGGACATACAGTATGCCACTATATCTGGTTACACATACCTTTTCAGTCTTCAAATCTTTACTGTTAAACTTAGTGTAGTCTTCTTTTGCTTCTACAGGCTCATCTGAAATCTTTAGTCTCTGCAATGTTAGAGTAGTGAGGCAGAGTCAAATGGCACCCTATCACTTAAGTGAAACCATTTTTAAAATATGTGTTATTTGGACCCACACAGAGGTCAATAATTTTTACAAATGCTTCTACATTTTGACAACTATCTAGTGGACTACATAAGGCACTGGCCTCTTTCAAGAAGCAGCCTTAGTTATGGTAGGTTATCACTGGGTAGGTATATGAGCCCATCTCTCAGTTCTGCAGGAATATAAACCCACTTTGTATGTACCATGTACAGTGGGCATCTAGATGGCTGCAGACTTCAAGGCCATTCTTTTTTTTTTGGTGGAACTGGGGATTGAACTCAGGCCCTTGAGCTTGCCAGGGAAGCGCTTATTCCACTGAGCCATCTCCCTGGCCCCCTTTAAGGCCATTCTAAGAGACTAAAGGCAAGGCACAAAACTCAAAGATGAGAACTGCCTTGAAAGGAACCAGGTACTCAGTAACAAGCTCCACTTCATTAATATCCTGGGATGGATTCATGTCTACTAATGGATACAAGGGGAGCACTATTCTATTATTATCATTTTTGTGCAGTTTATGTCCTTCCTTTCAATTCAGCTGTCTCATTTTATCCATATAAGGACAAACTGTGTAGCAAGCAGCTAGCAGAAGGGAAGCATAGAGAAGTAACATGAATAGGTGTAGTCATCTGTGCAGGACTCGGGGTTAGATATCAATTCTTATGTTAATGTTCTTTCCATTAGGCCAATGCAACCAAGTTGAGTCTTCATGGAACATTAGTGCCATTGATATGAACACTTTGCACCAAGGCATGAGTTGGTCTGTGGCCTTAACAATCATATAGAAGAAATCATGTACACTTATATAAAAAGTACAAAGCAAAATAGAGGAATCTTGCTGCTTGACATAGAGGACTGAGTGACAATAAACACTGGATATTGACCCCAACTCAGATTGACACCAACAGGTCTTCACACTCTGGAGACACAAAGTTGACAAGAGTCAACATGGGTGTCCCCAGGAAATAGACTTTTGTTCAGCTTCATTCTTCACAATGCTGCATTTGCTAAAACTAGGATTAGACCCAGCTATTTTCCCAGAATAATTGAAAACATCATACCACAGCAATATATGTGCACCCATGTTTATAGCAATACAATTTATCGTCACTAAAATCTTAGAAACAACCCAATGTCCACCAACTAGGAATGGATAAAAAGATGTGGTAATTTTATACAATTTGGTATTACTCAGCTATAAAGAAAGATAAACTCGAGGTTTTTATAGGTAAATGGATGCAATTAGACATCATATTAAGGAATATGATGGAGCTGCGGTGGCTAGACCCCTCCAGCCCCAGCCCAGGCCTGGAGAACTTCCGCTCTGCTGAGCACGCTGGACACCTCTAGCCCCAGCCAGACCCGGCGTGTGAGTGAGACCTTCCACGATGCTCTCAGGACACCTCCAGAACCAGCCCAGGCCCAGCACATAGGCCTGGTGTGAAACTCTGCAGCTGAAGTCCCTGCATAGAGGCTAGGGGCCAGAACCACCCAGCTAATCCAGAAGCAGAACATCTTGCCAGAGGGGCACAGTGGGTTCACTTCTATGGGTTGCAGCCTGAAGAAGCTGAACACAGCAGCCAGATCCAAGCCAGGCACATCGCGATGAGTTGAAACTTTGTAGATCCAGACCCAGAGAGCTGAGACACCTTGCTAGACCCAGATCTATGAGAGCATCCTTCCTCTTTCTCTCCTGATTGAGAGAGGGGACAAAAGGTAACTAGGGTGAATTAGTCTGCCTAAAAGACCCCAGGTACATCAAGGGGAGATGATCAGGCAGAATTTAGGGGAACATAAATACAAATCCTCAATTTAATATATGCTTAGCTACACATACATAATGCTTGCTCTTACTGTCTAAAATACAACCCATTATTTACAAAAGTTTGTCAGCTGCTAAATATCACTACCCATTATTAGTGTTCCTAATTGTAGTTCTGTAAATATAAAACTGTAACTGCCTTAATCATATAATCTCTCTTGGGTAAGAATTGCAGTAGGTGTTAAAGTTTTATCTGCATCAAGGCTCTATACCAAAGGTCAGAGGACAACTTTGTGTCAACTTTGTGTCTCCAGAGTGTGAAGACCTGTTGGTGTCAATCTGAGTTGGGGTCAATATCCAGTGTTTATTGTCACTCAGTCCTCTATGTCAAGCAGCAAGATTCCTCTATTTTGCTTTGTACTTTTTATATAAGTGTACATGATTATACAAAATACAAAGAGAAGAAGCAAAATATAATCTCAGGCCCAATGCCACCGACAACCAATGCAGGAGACACTAGCAAAGAAGAAATTGGGAATCACACAGCTGAAATCTCTGAATTAATAGTGTCTAAAGTAAAGAAACAACTGCAGAAAATACAGAGGAAATAATATCTGAAGTAAAAAAAGAAAGGATAACTACAATGAAAGAATTAAAAATTGCTTCTAAAGAATATAGCTGTGAACTCACACATTAGGAAAACTGAACGGGAACAAATAAACATCCTAATGCCATACCTCAAACATCTAGAAAAGGAAGAACAAATCAAACCTAAAACTCAAAGATGGGAGGAAACTATAAAGATTAGAGAAGAAATTAATGCAACCAAGACAAAGAAAATACAAAGAACGAATCAAAAAGCTGGTTCCTTGAAAGATTAAATAAAATTGATAAGCCCCTCGCTAACACCATCAAAAAGAGGAAAGAAAAAACTCAAACACAAACAATAAAGAATGAAAAGGGCATAATTACCACAGACACAGTGGATATTCAAAGATCATCAATATCTACTTTGAGAATCTTTACTCTCACAGAATAGAAGACACAGAAAAAATGGACAGATTCCTAGAAAGGTACAAATTACCAGAACTGAATCAAGATGTAAGAACTCTCAATAACCCAATAACAGGCAATGAAATAAAAAATGTAATAAAAAACCTACTGACAAAGGAAAGTCCAGGTCCTGATGGATTCACAGTTGAATTCTATAAGAAACTTACGGAAGATATAATCCCTATACTCCTCAAACTTTTCAATGAAATTGAAAAGGAAACAATCCTCCCAAAATCATTCCTAGAGGCAAGTATTACACTGATACCAAAACCAGGGAAAGACACAACTGAAAAAGAGAACTACAGGCCAATCTCTCTCATGAACATATATGCAAAAATCCTCAATAAAATCCTAGTATGTAGAATACAGCAAATCATCAAGCAGATTATACACCATGACCAGGTAGGATTCATCCCTGGGATGCAAGGATGCTTCAATATTCGAAAAGCTATAAATGTATACACTATATCAATAGAGCCAAATCTAAAAATCACACGATCATCTCTATTGATGCAGAAAAGGCTTTTGACAAAATCTAACATTCATGTTCAAAGTCCTACAGAAAATTGGAATAGATGGCCTCTACTTCAATCTGATAAAAGCCATCTATGACAATCCAACAGCTAACATAATTCTAAATGGGGAAAATCTGAAATCTTTTACTCTTAGATCTGGTACAAGACAAGGATGTCCTCTATCACCACTCCTATTCAATATAGTTCTGGAATCATTAGCTAGAGCCATTAGACAAGAGAAAGAAATAAAAGGAATAAGAATAGGCAAAGAAGAAGTTAAACTATCATTATTTGTAATGATATGATACTGTACTTGGAAGGCCCAAAACATTCCACCAAGCAGCTACTAGAATACACTAATTCAGTAGTATAGCTGGATACAGAGTCAATACCAAAGAGTCAATAGCATTCCTCTATACAGATAACGAATACACTGAGAGAGAAATTAAAGAAACAATACCTTTTACAATAGCATTATGGAAAATGAAATACTTAGGAATTAATTTAATTAAAGAAGTCAAAGATCTATTCCATGAAAATTACAGTACTCTGAAAAAAAGAGATCGTAGAGGATTTCAGAAAATGGAAAGATATTCCCTGCTCCTGGATACGACAAACCAACACTGAAGAAGGCCATACTCCCAAAATTGCTGTACAGATTTAATGCAATCCCTATCAAAACACCCTATCAACATACCTTACAGAACTAGAGAAATCATTTCTAAAATTCATTTGGAACCAGAAAAGACCTAGGATAGCACAGGCAATCCTGGACAACAAAGAAAGGCAGGAGGCATTACAATTCCTGACTTGAAATTATACTACAAAGTTACTGTGATAAAATCAGCATAGTATTGGCAAAAAAAGAGACCTGAGGATCAATGGAATAGATTAAAAGATGCCAAAGCAACTACAAACACACTCAGCCACCTTATCTTCGACAAAGGGGCCAAACATGCTTACTTGAAGAAAGATAGCCTCTTTAACAAATGGTCCTGGAGAAATTGACTCTCTACATGCCGAAAACTAAAATTGGACCCAGTTCTATCACCATGCGCTAAACCAGAATCAAAATGAATTAAAGACATAAACATTGACACAGAAACACTAAATCTCCTGGAAGAGAAACTAAGAGGAAATACTGAAGACATAGGGGTAGGCAAACAGTTCATGAACAAAAAGCAACCTGCATGGGTAATACCTCAAAGAATTAACAACTAGGACCTCCTCTTAATGAGAAGTTCTTGCACATCAAAATAAATTACCAACAGAGTGAAAAGCCAACTTATGAGTTTGGAAAAAATCTTGACAAATAAGCACTCAGACAAAGCTCTTTCTTTCTAGAATTTATAAAGAACTAAAAAACATTAGGCCCCCAAAATTTAAAGATCCAATCCAGAAATGGGCATCCAAGATGAACACACACTTCTCAGAGGACGAAATTCTAGATGCTAATAAATACATGAAAAAAGTGCTCCACATGGCTATCATAAAGAATTCAACAAACAACAAATGTTGGAGAGGCTGTAGGGAAAAAGAAACCCTTCTCCACTGCTGGTGGGAAGGTAGACTGGTGCAACCATTATGGAAATCAGTGTGGAGACTCTTTAAAAAAC